TGATCTTTGACAAAAGGTCAAAGTCCATTCAACTGGAAAAAAATCCTCTTTAAATCAGATAACAGTTGTTATTGTTGTTCTGTCTTACAGTGACTCTATCAACAACAGAATGAAACACTGTCCTGTCCTGTCCCGGGTGAACCTTACAATGGTGCTTGAGCCCGCTGTTGCAGCCCCTGTGTCAATCTCTGTCCTCGAGGGTCTTCTTTTTCTTGACCTCTCCACTTGACCAGGCATGCGAGATCCTTTTCTCTCTCCTGAGAAGTGGTCTCTCCTGAGAATGTGTCCAGAGTATGTGAGGTGACATCTGGCTGTACTGTACTCTTTCAAGGCAGATTTGTTTGTTTTTCTGATACTCCATGGGACTATTATTATTCACCAACATCATAATTCAAATGCATGGATTCATCTTCAGTCTTCCTTGTTCAGTGTCCAACTTTCGTATGCAATGCCATGCTGCTAGGATTATAAAGTGGTTAGTTCTCTGCACTGTGAAAATACCATGCTTTTGACAGGTGCATCTCAGTCCTCAGCACTCGTTTTCTAACACTTCAAAGAGATCTTGTGCTGCAAATTTGCTCAATGCAAGATGCCATTTTTATTTCTTGACTGTTGCTTCTATGGTCACTGATCCAAGCAAGCGGAAATCCTCGATCACTTCAATATTCTCTCCATTTATAACAATGTTGTATACTGGTCTAGTTGCGATTCCCCTCCCCTCCCCCCACTGAATTGCAATCCATCCTGAAGACTGTAGTCCTTGATCTTTATCCGCAAGTGCTTCATGTTTGTGTCAGCTGCAAATCGCAAGTTGTTAGGGACAATTCTGGTAAATGCTATAAATCCACTGTTATCGAGGAGATTCTGACTCATAGTAGCCCTATATAGGAAATCCTACATAGTACTTTTGAGGTTTTGTAAATGTTTTTGGGAGCAGACAGCCTCCTCCTTCTCTCACTGAGCAGGTGGTGGATTTAAACTGCCAACCTGTGCTTAGCCGTCCAACTCCTACCTGGCAGGCACCAGGGCTCCTTTTAGGAAATGCTATATAACATATACAGTTTAGCAAGAACAGCGGCAACCATCCCAAACTATGTATATGCTCACACAGGTAGATATGTATACATACATGAAGAGGCTTCAAAAAGGTCAAATGAAAAATAAAAGAAAAATATAATGGTATAGGTATATGCCTTCTATAGGTGTTGAAAGGCATATGGGAGTACACGCATGTGCATGTAT